AAGCCAGCAAAACATCCACGAAACAAAGAAAGGTCTGTCACAGCCAAAAAATACACTCCAGACACGCCGCTGGCACTAGAGGCACAGCATGGCCGCCTAGTAACGGCCCCGAACACTGCTGCTCTACCTGCCTGACCGGAAAAAACCGTAGCAGGAAGCTAGCGAAGTCGTAGCATATATCGTCATTAACAGAACTGCCCGATAAACCGTAGGCAGAGAGAGAGAAGAGGACAACAAACGAGGGGTATATATATATATAGAGAGAGAGAGAGAGAGAGAGAGAGAGAGAGAGAGAGAGAGAGAGAGAGAGAGAGAGCAAGTGTTTGACGGTGGCGAAGCCAGGTTAAAACAGCAAAGAAACATGGAAACATCATCTCAAGCGCAGTGCCACACAAAAAAACAGTATTTAGTCCTGTATGTATGCCCTGAGGGAGACACACACACACAAACACACTGTGACACACACACACACACACACACACACACACACACAGAGAGAGAGAGAGAGAGAGAGAGAGAGAGAGAGAGAGCTGCTTCCACAAGTGTCGTCTTGTATTAATCATGGCAGATAGCAATGGCACTATTTCGAAAGTTTTCTGCTAGAACGGTAGTATAGGTACAGAGCTATCCCCGTTGAACATTCTTTGCAACACCGATCAGCATCATGACATCCACCCTGACCAGTGTGATTTCTCCTCCTCTTCGACGACAACCGATGTATACTCTTTATATGGTACGGCCTTCGGTCTCGGCATGGTAAACACGGGAAACTCACTTGGCTGACAATCAAAGAGCCACCACGTAGGATTCCCAGTTACTTCCTTGGTGAGCTCATCTAACTGTCAGCTTCACATTCATTCGTGCTGCTGTGCAGTGTGCACACAAGACAAACTGAGTTTCAGAATGGCACAGTAAAGCGCTCCTTGCAGCTGCATAGGTCATGATCAGACTGGGATGCGACTAGCTTCTGCGGGTTTGGACTGCAACGTTTTTGTCGGATGCATCGGCAATTGACAATTGTACAGTTTGTAGCGTGCGTCTTCCCGTCGCTGTTGAGGCGGTGACCATACTTCACTAGGCACACGGAGTGCCGTTGGGTTTGGCGAAGCTGCTAGATGTCCTGATCATGACACAGTCGCGGGCTCTCCCGTTGCTGTTGTAATTGCCCCATCCTCCCTTGTACTCCGCGGCTGAGATGTGGATCTTGATGTACCTGTTCAGGAACCATGGTGCGTCATCCTGAAGGTTCTTCTTGTGGACCCACTCCTGAATGGTGCTGAATTTGTTGGCGCACTTGATTGCGTTCCACGGACCGTTCGCACCGGCACTCATTGCACACCAGTCAGAGTTCACATTCTGCGTTTCGATGTCCACCGTCGCCGGGCCACTGCATGCACAATGAGCCAGAGAAGAAGCGGGCGCACACAGCCCCGCACAGAAAAAGGAAAAAACAGTAGAGGCACACGAATACACTGCGTTAGAGCCCCACCCCTTGTCCAATTTGACATCATACCATCAGGTCATTTTGAAGTCGGATAAACCGAATGACTTGGCCGAGTGAAGTGCAAGGTGGTTAAAAAAAAAGAAAAGAAAAGAAAAAAACTACCTTCAAGCTGCCTTTGTATACATGCAAAAAAAATCAGCGGAGATTCATTCGCAAAATCACGCTGCCTATTTTACGTGGATAAATGAACTAAGATTGAGATCAAGAACGTTGCGGAACAAAGTGCACGCATACTCGTTAATAGTATGTGGGCCTGACGAATTGGCTGGCCCTATGCCACGTCCGCAGCTGGGCCATGCATCCGTTGTTGCACGAGCGGCTGGCAAGCGAACGGGACCGTCAATGCATCCAGATTCATTCAGAACAGTCCTACTAGTGAGAATGATCGTCTAAAACGATCCCGAACGAACGACGTATAACAATAAGATAATTACGATGGTGAAGATATTATTATTATTTAGTATGCACCCACTTAGTACGCTGATGAAATGATTAAGTATGGAGTAGTATGAAGTAACTCCTTTCTAGCATGGGTGACCGTGAATCGGTCAGTGAGCGACAACGTACAATTACTTACGTGTTGACATGGTGAACTATGCCGCCTGCGCATTGAGTGTACGCCGTGTCGCCACCAGGACAGATCTTCAGCGTAGGTATGACCCACTTGTTGCAGGCAATGAAAAAATCGCAGTTCGTGAGCGGAGCTGCACCCGCCGGTGATGAAGCGAGCATCGTCGCCATCGCCACGAACAGGAAAGTGCCGATCATGCTGCCCGCTGACACTGTCTTCATCATGCCAATCGTGTTGAAGTCGCAAAGAAATTGGTCCCGACCGTGATCTGATGGCGACGAGGCAGGGGGGAGGGGAGAGACTCTGCTGACTACAAAGGGACGGCCTGGTACTGGTGTGAAAGCAACAGAAAAAGATGAAGTAGACGACTCGACGGGCAATCGGAGATAGCCGCGAGAGAGAGATCACTGGACGTGCCCGATTGCTCGAGGTAAGAGTGGACAGATCGGCAGACCGGCGGTCCCTCAAAGTGAGAGGACGGGTCGCCGCATTTGTGACCACTGACCCTGTGTGAAGATGAGTTTGGGCCGGCGGATGCCAGCCTTTGCCGCAGGCCTGGGTGGTGATTCCCAGCCTGCGAGTGAGCGAGCGCTGTGCTGTGTTGTGCTTTGCTATATGCGGATTCCGAATGCTATACCTTTCTCGGTCGTTTGGCCAAGACCGAGACCAAGTGTAGTATATCTGATCCCTGGTCCATCGGGCCACATTGAAAAAAAAAAAAAAAAAAGAAACAAAGGAACTGACCAAAGTCACCCGACACAGGGAACAACTGCCGTTTCAGTTTTTTGTCGTTGCACAGAAAAAAGGCGAGACAAGGGAAGAGAAGGGAGGGGAGTTTAAAAAACAAAAAGAAAACAGAAAAAACAGCGACACTGGAGATCCCGACACTGGGATTATTGGTGGAAGGCGCGCACGCCAAAACCTTTTTGGAGAGGAAGCAGGAGACGGCGCGCGACCCCTGCGGCGTTCAGCGCTAACGCCTGCGTCGTTGCGCGGCTTGCGGCTACGGGAAAATCTAACCATAGCCGCCCAGCCAGTTACACGTGTTCCTGGCCATTCCCCCCAGAGTCCATAGCCGCCCTTGAGTCCGTGTTCCGAGGGCTTTGGCTCGGGGAAGTGGCGTCCGTCTCCGGCCATTCCTCCATCGCACAGCGTACCCAGCCTCGATCAGACCCATCCAGACTCACTAGCGTAGCGCCGTTGTCACGCGCTCCGCTGCAGCAGTATTCGTTTCTAAACACTCGGCCTATCTAGGCCTGAAGTCGAGAAAAGAGTCTCTCTTTCCTCCTAGGCTGCCTACGATGCCGTCCTTATTGCAAGGATTCCGTAGGGGTCCCAAGACAGATTGGACATCAGTGCATCATTCTCGGTGGGTGAAGTACTGCAGCCGCTCAGCTCTCGCCAGTCATCACGAAGATGTCTTCGGTGAGGCATCTTGCCTTCATCAGGTTTTTCGGATCCACGACTCTAGACCTCGTGTCGCCTGGTCTCTACTTGGTTGATTTAGGACAGCAACTCATCACGACCTAGGTACGAAAGCATTGCTCCAGCAGGCCGCAGTTATTATTCCTGCGCTAAATGAAACTCGGTGAAAAAGGAACAGTGGGTGTATATTGTAGCGGGAGTAGCAGCAGGCAGCAGCTTATTATCTGCTGGGGATCTGGGAAGCGCATGCTGCCTGCTGCTTATTATCTGCTGGGGATCTGGGAAGCGCATGCGAGCATGCAGGTTGCTGCTTAGGAGCCAGATGAACATGCCTGCGGTTATCTCTGCGACTGGCTCKGGGGTACACGTTGGTGGAAYAAGAGGAGCAGGTCTGGTAGAKGGACCCACTTTTGCGGATGTGTGAGAGATCTGCTAGACACGAAAAAAACGTGTGTGCCTGTGTGTGCGTGACAGATCTCACACACATGCAGACTGGCCTGCAGCTAATGAATGAAAAATGCCTCGGGGGTACACGGTTGTTTCTTGTTCTCAAAAGGAGCAGGCTGAATGAAGCAAACGTCCAAACTTCTCCAAAGTGAATTTCACATCATCTTTGTCTGAACGGGGTGCACACCAGCTGATGAGCCTGATGTCGTGCTAGGCTCATCAGGCATTACCTTGCCCATCTTCTCGCCCCTTCCCCCTCACGCCTCCTGCCCCCCTCACTCCCCCCCTAACCGCCCCCCAGTTCTCTAACAGTTGCACGCTGCTTCCTGTCGGGCACCTTGACATATGGAAGGACATCCACTCCACGAGAGAGAGAGAGAGAGAAAGAGAGAGAGAGAGAGAGAGAGAGAGAGAGAGTTCTGCACACACGCATGCCGTAGATGCTAAGTGTTGTTGGGGCCGCATCTGATTTCTTCTGTATGGTTGGGTTCATGGAGGGGGAAGGAGGCGGAACAACTGGGCTTGCTGTCTTCAGTGACATGCATTTGACGGGCTCTTTTTTTTCGTTTGTTTCTTTTTCGACGGGCTCTCTTGTTCTGGGAAGGCAGGAGTGTATCCAATGCTCGTGTACGGGCACACGGCCGTGTGCTGGAAAATATAATTATTGYGTAAATGAAAGACGTGCAGCTTAGGACGTGGGAGGAACTGACTTAYGAAATYTTATGCTTTCCAAAGAGTTTGCACACTGTATTAGAGCTTCTTTTTGGATGCCGCAGGGCTTGAGAGTTGAGGCTGACTCTAAAGGGTGCTCTGGTGACCATAGGGGKGGGRGAGAAATATTGCATGCCCCCATTTTGTTTGTGTGTGTGTGCATGCGAGCGTGTGTGGGTGGGTGCATGTGTGCATGTGTATGTGTGTGTGTGCGTTTGTGTGTGCATGTGTGTGCGTGTGCGTGCACGCGCGTGCCTGTGTGTGTGCGTGTGTGTGTGTGTGTGTGTGCGCGCGTGTGCGTGTGTGTGTGTGTGTGTGTGTGTGTGTGTGTGTGCGCGCGTGTGCGTGCGTGTGTGTGTGTGTGTGTGTGTGTGTGTGTGTGTGTGTGTGAGAGAGAGAGAGAGAGAGAGAGAGAGGTGGACATTGAGTTAAGACCATAATAAGAATCACAGATGGAAAAAAAATGTTGTTGCTTTATTCCCTTAACGGATTCCCTAGACTACCGGTCACTACCGGTCTCCACCGGACTACAATCAATGGTCATTATTCCTGCATCTGGACAGGAAGTTGCCCCCAGTATGACCGGGTGTTTTATTCGGGTGAAGTCAATAGGCCATGCTTTCTTCAGCTTTGTGTAACCTGTGCTGGACAAATGTGGTGAGCAGCGTGAAGACATGTCCGCATGCTTCACGCCATGGATCAACTCTGCGCTGACGTTTCCTCATAGACTACGCGCAAAGCTGATCCTACTGGACATCGGTCTAGGTGACGTCACCGACATATACCTACCTACTGGTCCTACTCGTCGGGTATATTGGGGAAGCCTGGTTTCTAAAAAAGGGTGGCATACACCCTATCAGACAAAGGGGCTTCGGGG